ATGGGGACGGCGCTCGCCGCGCTGCCGGAGGACTTCCGGCGGGCCCGCTTGCCGTCGGGGGTCTCCTCGCCGCTGCTGTCGCTCCCGCTCCCGCCGCCGCCCGAGAGCCTGCGCTTGCCGCCGCCCAGGGCGGCCTCCTTCTTGGACTTACTCGTGCGCAGGCATATCATCCCCGGGGCCGCGTGCTTGGCGCAGTACTCGGCCTTGCGGGTGCCCGGGACGCCGAAGGACGGCTGCTTGGGGCACCCGGGGTGCGCGCACCTCTTCGTGATGACGTCCACCATGCCGGCCACCGCGTGGGTGCCGCAGAATTGTGCCTGTTTTTCGTGTTGGGCAGGAAGGGGTGATGGTCGGCGGTGGGGGTGAGAAGGACAGAGGTGAGCGGAGGCATGTACTTCGAACGAACATTCCAGCAGCAATAGGTTGTAGAAATTGCGCAACTCTTGGCGGCACTTCACATGCCCAGGCCGCGCCCTTGCGCGGATGGGAAAAACAGGGTACACTTTCAGGAACAAAAAATAGAAAGCACGTGAAAACGCCTCCAGCTCAACGGCGGCGGGCCGAAACCTACGCTGGGAAAAACGAGACGCGAGAGGCCCATCTCTAAAGACAGCAAAGCTGCTGCCCGTAGATACAAAGATAAACACGTGTTGCACAGCAGTCGCCGAACGTTGATTTACAGTAGTGCTGCCATGCGGCCTTACGGTTGAACACTGTTTACATGTATCCACCCTGCGTTTCTGAGGCTGACCAACACCCAGACACCGAGATCTCCAGGACTCTTGACAAATCTCCGCCCTGCCAACCCGTGGTACATCTAGCATGCCTTAGTAAACAATCGTTATCTCCTCTGTTGACTCGCCTTCTTGAACCGCTGCAGGCACATATTTAGTCTAGATTGATTGTCTCGTTTGAGTATTCTCCGAGAATGTGTAGCCCTCTGTAGCTCGTGGTGTTGGAAGTACTGCCGTGCTCCAAAAATACTGCCGATGTTGGCACCTCTGCGCAATGCTACTGAAGACTAACCCACGCCAAATGAACAATCCACTACCCCTCTTGCTTCGAAGATGGATGGATGTATTTTGACTGCATGTTCTGCATGTACATTTTCTACAAGCACCATTCTCCTCACATTTCTGCGGCTGCCGGGGACCCCAAACCGCGGGTTACGCACGGTGCACCCTTGAAACGCGCAACGCTTGCTGACCACGTCCTCCATGCCCTCCCGAGCGTGGGACATGCAGAATGGCGCCGTCTTGCTGTCGTCCATGCCCGGCGTTCCGTGAGTCGCGCGCTTGGGGCACCCCTCCTGAGCGCAGGTCCTGATGGATACGTCCACCATGCCGGGCATCGCGTGGGGCTTACAGAACTGCGACTTCCCGCTGCCGGGGACGCCGTAGGCTGGCCTGGTGGTGCAGCCCAGGTGGGCGCACTTGCGGTTGGCGCGCACGTTAACGTGGCTCGGGTCGGCGTGCACGCGGCACCACTTAGCGCTCCTGGTGTTGCGTGTCGTCGCGAAACATGCAGCGGAAGAGAGAGAGAAGAGAGAGAGAGAGAGAAAAGAGAAAGAGAGACAGAGACAGAAAGAGAGACAGAGACAGAAAGAGAGACAGAGACAGAAAGAGAGACAGAGACAGAAAGAGAGACAGAGACAGAAAGAGAGACAGAGACAGAGCAACACACAGAGAGAGAGAGAGCGGCAGTGAAGTTGAAGTCAGTTAGCAATCTGCCAGTCAGTAACATAACGTACATTGCAAGTTGGCACATACCAGGTACGTGCCAAGCACACATTTTCGAAGTGAATATGCACCATCAAACCAGACAAAGCGCGAAAAAGGGGGGGGGGGACATGATGGCTCGTGGATTACCGAGCATCGTCGTTGATTCCAAGCTCTAATATAAGAGCGATAATGTAGCGTTCGCCGGTGAATTGAGTCCTCGCTGATGGGGGGGAATAACTTTTTTTGTTTTTTCTTCGCAACACACAAACCGCAAAACCAAAACGCGCAAGCACTATGTACCTGAGCCGACTGCAAACCATGCTCTCAAACGAGCCCCTAGAGAGAAGCACGCCCGCCAACAATCTAAAAGAAGGAAAACGCCTGCTGGTGCGTTAGACCCCATCACGAGAGATCTTGGAATCGAAAAATCCAACGAGAGCGTAGCGGCATCCCGGCATCCATGTCCAAAAACAACCCCGTAAATCCCGTCTCAAGTAGACGGCCGTTATCTCTTTTATCTTCGACCAAGAGAGAGAGAGGGGAGGGGGGCGACAGAAAACAACGGACCAACAACATGGGGTGAGAAGCTGTGTGCCGCACAAGCGCAACTTGGGTCTTGTCCAAAAAAAATACTTCTATCGCAGAGGGACAAGAAGATCAACCTCGTCGCCATGGTCGGTTTGACAATTATCGCTGCCTGCAGGGTTCACAATGAAATCCGTGTGACTGCTGTATGCTCCAATTTCGACCCGCGCAAGACGTGTGCTTCCCCCCCCACGCTCGCGAGGACAAAGAGAGCATAATAGGCGAGCCGTCGAGATACGGTGTGTGCTGAGATTCGTATTTTTGTATTTTTGTTGACCGCGTGTTGCTTCTCTCTTCACCGCTCTTGATAACCGCCTCCCGGTTTAACTACGACACAGCGGTCTTGCCTGTCTCTCCAACCGGAAGGCTGCGATCCCGGGTCATACAGAGGAGTTTCCCTGCGGTAAATGCTTTCATTATCAGCGAGAGAGGCGAGAGAGGCCTACAATTGCAGCAGGTCTTCGCCTTCTCAATGTGCTCTTGTGCTGCCGAGAGAGAAAACCGTTGCCTTTAACCGCTTCTGTTTTTACCCACTTTTATGTGCAGAGAGACGAGATGACCCTGCGAAAAAAAAGGCGTTGCATCAACCCGACCAAAACATCTGGAACTGGGTTGTACCTAACCACACACTGCTGTGCCCGCCACAGCGATGCCTAGCGCTGTGTTCAACCGCTGCCGCCGGATAGAGTAGATTTCACAGCAGCGGTAAGCACTGCTTGATTTCAAAAGTTTTTGGGCAGGAAGGGGGTTCTGGGAGAGCAGTGCTGTGAGCTTTTCGGTTCCAACCACCAACAAAACCATAATTTTGTTGTGACGCAAGCGGGTGGCGGATGAGCGTCCCCTCTGGTCTCTCGCGGGAGCCGTGCAAGAGACAGCACTGCGAGAAGAGAGAGGAGCGGGGGCGAGGAGTCCCGTGACGGAGCCAACGACGGCGCCTACATACGTACTCCCTTTGCACGCGCGACAACTGCGGGACTCTCTACAAGGGGGATCGCGAGGTCCGTGTACCTGGTGCCCGCAACGCCGAAGCTCGGCTCTTTCCCACACCCCTGAACGGGGCATTTCGTGCGAGGCATATTTTTCTCCCCACTTGTTAGCCAGCGCGCGCGCTGCTGTGTCCCTCTCGGCTCCGGCCCTTGGCGAACTGCGAGCTCCGCAGGTCTCTCTCTTGCTTGAAGCGGGGGGCGGGGGGGTTACTTTTTATTTGGCGGCGCCGACGAGTGTGATACTGCGCAGCCCCGGCGACGCGTGCTTGCCGCTCCACGCGAGGCCCGCCTGAAAAAAAAAAAAAGATCACTATTTTGAGGGGACCGTGCCTTATCATCCCCGGGGTGGTGACGCTATAAGGCAGTATCAGAGCGTGCGTGTTCGCTTCACACAAAGCATGACGGCGGTGCTGCTGCTCACATGAGATGAAAAAACAATTGTCACCGCCCACTTGACATAAATAAATGTAATGTGTCTGCTGACGCAGTGTGTAGTATCCTTCCTAAAAGAGAAGAGATAACAATAAATAAAGTGTGTTCATTACCTTATGAGTTGGTTCTTCGTGAAGTAAGATCAACCCTCTCTCTTGCGTTTTTCGCACTCCCTTGCTTCGGAAACAGGACTGGTTGGTTGCGGTCGAACATTAACGCGAATGGGTAGTCTTTCTGTGTGTGTATTTATTATTCCTTAATTAACGCGCCATGCATGCATACATACAACATACAGTAGTGTCGTCTCGGTGTTTTTTTTTTCGTTGTTCTCTCTGTGTCGATAGACAGCGCGATGAATGAGATGAGGGTTTGAGCGCCGGAGGTGGGCGGGGTCGTGGGGTCCAACTTCTTCAAAAATAATCAAGCAAGGCGTTTCTTACACAAAAAAGGTGTATGTCATCTTGCTACAATGCTATTGTACTGCTACAGCAGTATGCTGTACTGCTGCACTTGGTGTTGTCTGGCGTCCAGAATCGACGCAAAAGAGAGGAAGGAGGCCGGACAAACGTAGTACATACATCCATTTATTTGTTCTCCCACAAAAATACAGTTGTAGTCATGTCGAGATGAATCTGATGTCGCCTTCGTTTTGTCTCGCCCTCACACTCACTCCCGGAGCAACAACTCGCCAAATGCAATACGCACACCACGTACCACGCAGCATTTCTGCTGCCCGCTCATCTTCTTGCTTCTCAGAAATATGCAACAAACAAACACGGAAAGAGCACCCGTTGCTGTGAGTTGGCGTATCAACGAAAAAATTAGCCTCCGTCTGCATCATCCAAGAACGTTACAGACCTACAGCAGCAGCAGCGAAATCGATCAGCTGCGAATCATTCAACAGACACATGCATAGCGTAACACAACGACAAACAAGGTTGCGGATCAAACAGCGACACTGATGACAACACGCACGGATACATCGTACCACGCAAACAACGAAAGACTAGAAACAACCCACAAGACGTTGGTGCGCCTGAAAAGACTTGGTCCTGCCTGACACAAAAAAATTACCCAACACTGATCGCGGGAAAATGGGACGTCCAAAATCACACTATTAAGTTTCTGTACACACATTGGCAAAAAGCAACGTTCAAAGCCAGGAAACAAAAACACGTATATAGTCGTACAAGAAAGAACCGAAAAGCCCAGACCAAACTGGTCGTTCGTCCAACACACACAGAGAAGACAAAACACATTCCGGGTAAATATCACCTCAAAAATCACCAATCTCGTCTAAATCTTCCTCCTCTCCCTCCCCGTACGACACCGCCGCCGTGCTACCATGACCACCAACGCCGCCGCCTCTCCTCGCCCCACCCCCCTTGGCTGTCCCCCGCTCACCGCCCCCCCCAGCTGCTGCTCCCTTCACCCAAGACAAGGGGGGCGGGGACGCAGGCGCCGCTCCCCCTGCTGGCAAAGAAAGCCTCCCCCCGTCCGTGTGCATAGCGGCAGCAGCGGCTGACTCAGTACCGGTTGCCCACGTTCGATCCTGCTGTTGGCCCTCCTGCTGTTGCTCCCTGTCCTGCATGAAGCGCTGCAGCAGCGACCTGAGGGCCGCCTCCGCCTCCCACTCCCCGGTGATGAGCCTTGATTGATTTACGGGACCGCCCAGGGGGGGGTTACACCACATGAGATACCAGCGATCGCGTTTGCCGGGGCCCCCAAGGGGAGCACAACCAAGGAAGCGGGGCAGACAGACACCGAGTAGAGAGGGGGCAAGAAGGTGAAAATATACTCAATCAAAAGTGCAGACATGTGCGTGCGCGGGAGAAAATTCCAGAAAAATATCACATGAGATACATACAGCAGTGCAACACAGACGGACGCAAAGTGTACCATGGGAAGACGGTTGACCCAAGGAAAATTCGTACACCACGGAACAACGCTGGCAAGGTCGCCATTCCTTATTTCTACCAAATTACAAGGGGCTCGACATAGATCGTTATGGGTGCCAGCACGCGCTCCGTGGGCGCCTCTTACGAAGGTGGCGGACTACTCATCTTGTACCCGTTAGCGAAAAAGTCGAAACGCCTGCCTGGCGCATGTACGCACGCACGCAAGCGCACCCTGCGGTCGGTAAAATAAATCGGGGAAACGTCGGCATCGACAACTTTTCGTCGAGTGTAATTTTTATAAACCGACGGACGTAGAGAACCAGTCTACACGGGAGCTTCATCAGGTCATGTACATGTCATGAGAGCTCCTTCAATATATATTTTTTCTTTCGGGCACTACAGAGTAGTACGCGCGTTTAGAGAATGATCGAATACAAGCCAACTACTTCTCAAGATGATCGTTCCGATAGATGGATACAAAGGTTGTTTGAAGGAACAAATGTGCATCGATGTTGAAGACACAACAACAAAATAAAAAGCGTAACACACAAAAAAAAACATTGTATACATGATCACCATGGATTTCTCACCTCGCCGTCGGCAACAGGTCCGTGTCCACGGCTTCCTTCAGGTGCCTGCTGGAGGCCCACAGGGCATCCGCATCCCCACCCGAGGCGTCCCACGCGTCCCCGACGAAGCGCCGCAGTGCGCCAGACGCTTCCTTACGGCTGCGGCGCATCTCGAACGATTTCGGCGCTCCGAAAGCCCGCATCCTGTTCATGTTTTTGGCGTTGGCGTGTGGCTCACGTTGTCGTTACTGATGTTACTGTTGTTACTGTTGCTACTGCTGTTGTTGTTGTTGCCATGGGTGCAAATGCAAGTTTTCACCCACCATTGAATTATTTCGGTGAGGATGCCACGTCCAAGATAACACTTACAGAGAAAACGCCGTAGGGTAGTGACAAGCTACAGGCTGCGAGGGACGGCCAATGTTTGGGGATGGCAACAAAATCAAGCAATACTTTGCAGGATAACCTAGACTGTACTTTAAGCAAGAGTAGCCGAGAGCAGACTGCATACCAAAGCGCACTCGTTTACCAATATATCTCCACGTACTGAACCGCGTACATCCCACCCATCTGGAGCGGTGCACAGCACCCTTCCTTCTGCAAAAGCGACAACGACAAACGGTACCCGGTCCGACACACAACCCTGGGCAACAAGGCGTACAGGTGAGAATTGCACCGACCCGCACCCTCGAAGAGGCAAGCCCATCCAAGCAAGACCTACTCATGCACGTATGCACAACAACAGGCCAATACAACATGATATTCTTCACTTATCCATCTCGGTGTACGCAAAAAAACAGGCCTATGCATAGTGTTTTCCCACCTATTCATGTCGGTGCAAGGACAAAAACAAGCCCACGTACACATATTTTCCTTCCATCACATTTCTTGCTGGGGCACGCGTATAGTTATCTACCTGCTCTTCGCCGGGTGCCGGTTGGAGACAGCGGTGGCCCTCGACGCGATGGACTCTGCGTACCTCTGCGGGAAGACCGCCTGCTCGCCGCCGCCGTCATAGCCCTGGAAGAACAAACAAGAAGGAAAAAAAAAAGGAGGAATCGACACAAAGCAGTATCCCGAGAAGGAGAAACACTACGAACATCAAAAATTTCGATTTATCTTTTTTGTACTTGCATGTTTTAAAAGTGTTCGGGAGGACAGAGAGATATACGAGACAAGGAGATATACGAGACAAACCACAGCCACATGGTATGCCAGAAAACAAACGCAGAGGCGAGAGAGGATTAAGGGTCGACACACATAGGCCGTCGTCGGCATGCCGTACTGGTGTCCGCATGCTACCGAGTTATCCGCACTGGCGTCTTTCAAGTGGCATTTATCGGCAACGTAATTCTTCCGCTGCTGTGTCCTCCAGGCCGAACGAATGGGGGGCGTACTGCAACACCTCGACGGGGTACTGGTAGCTTCACGAACAAAGCGCCAACTCTTCGGTCCACGCAAGAACGACCCATGCGGACAAGACTGAACCAGAAGATGTCACCAGTTCTACAGCGGTAGTAATAGCACAGAACATTTCGCATCCAAAATGATCCGTTCAAGGCTAGCCCTAACCCGAAGACCGCAGCAGTACATCTATATAGTTCCGTCACGAGACTGTGACCTGTTCGTCCACAACGGACTGTAACCGAGATGGCGACGGCAGAGCAGGTCGACGACGATAGTACAGCCACCGATACGACAAACGCGCAACAACTAACTCACTCTCGAGGAGTCGAACATCCTGGACGCGAACATGTCCGCGTCGGAGAAGTAGCCGAGCCCTTGCGACAGCTCTGTCGAGAAAGCAGCAAAAGAGACGTCGGAAACAAAATGAATGCCAAGCAAGACCGGCTGGACCAAAAAAGGGAATTCTTTCTCTTTGACACCGCATCAAAGCTCTTCAGGGACGGAGGCAGGCAGCACCGCACGGTAGGTAGGTAAGGAATGTCGAACAGCAGTGGTTGTTACAATGCTGTGCACGCAGCAGTTCTGCGCACCATTCTGATGCTCACGTCGGTCGCTCCACACTCGTTCATAAAGCGATAAAACACGGACACAAATACACTCAACACAAGACAGTACTCGCGCTACAACCCCCTCCTCCCTTTTCTCACCGCTCTCATCCGTGTAGAAATCAACGCAGTGGTACTGCAGGAACGCCAACGCCCAGTCCAGCTCCATCCCGCCCTGCGACAGCACGTCCTCCGGAACGAACGCCAAGGGGCCCCGTCCCTCACCGCCACCATCACCACCACCCCCCCCCGCCGTCGGCCAACCACCCGCTCCGTCAGAATCGGGCGGGACGCGCTTGGCATACAGCAGCTTCCCGAGCGCGTGGAACTGCGTCAAGAACGTGTCCCTCTGCCCGGTGCCGCCCGCCGCCGCGCAAGACTTGGAAACCCCGGCTCCTCGCTTCTTCCTCCCGCCTACCCCCCCCACCGCCGCCACCGCATCCGCCGCCGCCCCTGAGCGCTTGGCTCGGCCACGCCCGCCGTTGGAACGCCCGACAGCGGCGGCGGCGGCGGTTGAGCCACTGCCGCCCCTGCCGCCGACACTCATCTGCAGGTTCAGAAGCGCGTGCCGGATGTCCCCTGATTTTTCGTTCGGGTTCGGTGAAAGCGGGCGGGTTAAGATCCGGGTTCGGGGTATACTGGGGTTACCGGCGGGTATCGTATGACCCCTGCTTCTTTCGCGCGTTGTTGAACATATAGCAGTCTATAGGACGAGCAGAACAGTCGCAGGGACGAACAGACCGGAGCGGAAACTGGAAGTGATAACTTAAGATAGCACTGAAGCGCTCAAGGTGTTGAGGTTGCCCCGCCGCACTCTCGGGCACCACGAAACGGTACTCGCGAGAGGGGAGTGCATTGGGGGAACAAGGCCGCCACCGTGTGTATCTTTTCGCGACGCCAGGCGGCATGAACCGAACCACACCATGTTCCGTGTCAGTCCCGGCCCTCCTTACAAGGAAAAAGAACACCACTGCCACCACCACCACCACCACCGCAACAACAACAACAGCAACAACAACCACCACAACAACAACAACAACAACAACAACAACAACGACAACAAACAACGACAACAGCCTCCTGGTAGGGGTAGGTGTAGGACCAGAGAGGGGATACTGGGTGGGAACCCCCCCCCCCCCCCCCCCCCC